TTTTACTAGAATGGAACCCAGAATCATGGCCGGGTGATGGTTCGAATGGTTCTACTAATTAGGTCAACGATAAATTGAAAACATTGCTTGAGAGATCATCTTCCCCTTTAGGGCCACAACATAACATTGTTGAGCTATTTACTGATCTCCTAGGACTATCCCAATGCCATGGTTAGTAGGAACTTCAAGGTTAGATGATACGTAGAAATTGATCCCTAGTGTTAACATTCCTTCCTAAGGAACTTTCTCCCTCTGCTACCATCCCCTTAGAGATGATAGTGATGCCTCTAGTAGGAGGGGGATCTCGATCATCTAGAGCATTAGTGTAGTATGGAGTTGGCTTTACAACAATCAGATGATTGAGATTGTATTGTTTGAGGTATCTCTTTTGGACGAGTTCTTTGATCTAGTTATAGAGGTATTGGCAATCTTCCATGTTGTGGTCATGGTCATAGTGGAATCGACAATACTTGTCTTGGCTCCTTTTATTGTGGAGTTACCTTAGGACATCATCATCTCAAGCCATTGGGTGTAGTCTTTATGTTTCACTTGCATCAAGATCTTAGCTCAGGAGGTTTTAACTGGTGTGAAATTGTGGAAGGTTGGTGGAAGGTACCTCAACCTATAGTCCTAGTACCTATATAACCTCTTCTTGTCATGACTAGGTATGTGTTTAGTATAGCTTCCATCTATTAAATAAATGTTTGTATTTGATTTGTCTTCAAAGCCGAGAAAAGTACTTGATAAACTGTTTATTGACAATGAGGCGCCATTAGGCACCACATCAGCAAAATAGTGAATAAACACTCAATCGTTGGGGGAAGTGTTAAAATGAAGCTTCCTCCAATGGTTGGTGTGCACATAAATCAAAACCCACTTTTGTGAATCTCAATGTGTACGGATGAACATGATGAGAAAAATGCTAATTTAGCGATGACATGGCGGCGTTTTGATAAACGCCTATCATGGAACGTCCACGAAACAAAATACACATTAGATTGACACTCATCTTGTTCCTTGTGCTTCCAATTATAGGGTTCTTCCTCGGCTACCATCCTGTTGGCTTGAGCCTCTTCTATGTTGGTATACTTTTCTGCATAGGTGAGGAGTTGGTTCATGTCTTTGGGGTGTGTCTTCTCGTGGGATAAGTTGAAATAGGAGGCGGATAACTTGTGAATGGAGGTAGCTACCACAATTGATTGATCCAAGTCCTACACCTAGATAGATTCAGTGTTGAGCCTTGCCAAGAATTCTTGAAGGGTCACATTCCTATTTTCCTTGAATTGTCTCCAAGAGCTAATAGAATGAGGTTGTAGCGTATAGTACCACTATTGGGATGCTTCCTTGAGGGTAAAGACAAAAGCTTTGCACATAAGAGAATCTGAGGTGTCATACAACACCATGAGAGCCTTAAACCTCTCCATGTGCTCGACAAGGTTGGTAGTGCTAGTGTATTTCTTAAAATAGGGTGTCTTGAAAGTTGAAACCAATTGGGGGGAGCTCGTCAATTATCTCTTAAACGAATATTGGTTCCTTGGTCACTTGGGCTTTGGGGGAGTAGTTCGATGCTCCAGTGACTTCCCCTAACTTGACGACTCCTCTCAATGGTGTCAATCCATTAGCACATATCCTAAGCTAGGAGTTGACATCATCATTCATGTGGTTCAACTTTGGGGATTAGTTGCTTTTCTTGTCCCTAACTAAGCTCATTAGCGTGAGAGCACTATGGTACTAGGATTCAAGTACTAAAGCAATGAGGGTTCTGAGCAATCTAGGTTTGACCCTATTAGGGGTCCACCTTGAAGATGCTCCACCTTGAAGAGTAGCGATGAATAATACTAGAGTTCTACTCTTACATGGGTTGGATAATTAGTTGAGATGCCCCACCTTGAAGAGTAGCGATGAGGTCCTCAACCCATTGGTGGAGTGTAATGAACTACTCCTAAATCACAAGCTTATTCCCAAGTCCACAAGGTGGGGGTGCATTGTTGCCAATGTGAGATCCCCTGGGATGGTTATAGCTAGAGTGGGTGGAGTGGCCAGTTGAACAATTTTTAAAACACATTTGTCGTTAGAAGTGATAAAATGCATAGAGTTTAAGACTTTTCATTGTGTTTCCCACAAATGATGCTAATCTAGTGCTATCTGAGTTATGGTGAATGAGCAACAAATAAAATATTGGTGAGTTGAATGAATTGAACTAATTTGACAACTTATACACATAGAAGTTAGAGGCTCCGAGGTGGTTGCCTAGGGAGGAGCATTTTGATGCTCGAGTTAGTAAGAGTAAGGTGGTCAGCTAAGTCGAGTTGGTTGGGCCAAGCTAGTCTTAATTGTACATGTTGAAGAAATTAAATGAGCAAGAGAGCAATGAGACTTTGAGAGTTCTGAGAGGTAGAAAGTGTGAAGATGGAGGTTACCTTGGGGATCATGTTATTATATACCTATTGGGGAGTGTCGTTGTGCTCCTCATTAGTGGGACATGTGTTGGCTTGTAAGGTGGCCAACAATTGAGCCTTTAGGGGCGTAAATCACATGTTGTGGGACGAGGAGTTTAGGAGTGTTAGTATCGACCTTGGCACATGTTAGGTTTGGTTATCACATGCCTTCATCCTACCTAGGACTTGTGTCATGCTCTAACATTATCTCACTAGCTGAATAAGGTCGTGCAATGTTGTCACTTTGTTGCTTGCTTGAGCCTCGACTACATGTGAGTCATTGGCTTGGCCATGTGTTACCTTTCTAAGTGGTCCATGTGGTAGTCAAATCAGACTTGATTTACAACCACATCAGCACCATTGTCATTTTATCAGATAATTGGTGTCAAGTCAACACCAAATAGGCATTTTCCCTAATGGATCTTGAAATTTTGTTTGGTTAAATTAGAGATTACAAATTTCCCCACAAAACTGAGGGCCCTGATCCGACCTACCCCGAACGAAGCAGATTTTCCCTGACCTTAAATGGGGATGGGTCGGGTTTGGGGATAATAGCCTAATAGGTGTTGAGCGTTCTTAATCTTATGTTTTGGACTTTTGTCTTTTCTTTTTTTTTTTGCACTTTCAATTCTCTGTTTGCCTCCTTTAAAATTTAGATTCTACAACAATGCCGGTTGTTGAAGTCTTAAGGTATATTGTTTTAAAACTCCACATTTCCATTTAAGGGCCTCTTGTAGTAATTTGAAGTCTTAAGGTATGGGTATATTATATGTATATATATATATATATACTCAAATGAAAAGTTTAGTGTTTCGTTTTTTCTTTGTTGTTGTAGTGATCAATATAACCTAGTTAGTAGTTAGATGTTATTTTTTGTGCTAAAATTTAATGTGTTTTAAAAAAATTATAATTCTAGCCATAGATGTGTAGTTTTCATTGTTGGCTAAGATTTGCATTTTTCAATAACCTGTGCACACTAACCCATAGATAAAATTTTTCCCTTCAAAACAGATTTCAGTACATTTTTAGTTTCAAGTTTATTTTCAAAAGACTCCAGATCTCCTGTCCACGAGAACTCTGTCCATGCCTATCCACAATACACCACCCCCCATGAATTGGGAACATCTCCCCCTGCATAATACTATGCAGATGATGAGATGTTCTCCATGTATGACTGTGATAAACATGAATAGGGTTCTCGTGGACAGGAGATCTGGGCTCTTTTCAAAAGTCCTTAGGTTCCTCTTAGTCCATATTGTCCACATCACAGCAGGAATCCAAATAATGGACTCATCTTCGCTTAACCCCTTAAATTCCGATTCATCTTTGTTTTTTGTATGAACTAGAAAATATACAAAACTTGGATTTTAATAGTATTAAAAAGAATAATAGCATATTAGAACCTAATATACTATAACTGAAACTATCTACGTTTTCAGATGAATTATTTAATTTATATTATATGGAGGTGTGGGGATGGGGGTTGAATCCTTGCCCCAATACCGGGGATGGAGAAGGGGTGCCCCGCCCCATACCCGCCTGCCCGCCCCATTGCCATTCCTTGGGGTTAAATGTTTATCAAGAAAACATTTTTCTCGAGTGAGATAATTCGCACTATGTCAATGCCAAATAGGGGCTTCCCGCAATGTAGCTTGATAATTTGTTTGGCGAAATGTTTATCAAGATAATATTTTCTTAGGTTATGTGAGAGCCAGCTGTTCGGGGAAAATAGTAAAATGTTTTTTCAATGTTTGACACATGTGGCACCTATTGGTGCCTAGTTGTCAAAAAACACTATTAAACCTGTCTCAACTTTTTTTTTTCTAGTTTTTTTTCAAGAAAAACACTATACAAAAACATTTATTTGACCATTTCTTAAAAAATGACACTACATCAATGCCACGTTTGAAATCTATTTTTTCGAAGCACGCCTTAAATAGGGAAAGGTGTGGTTTGAGAGAATGTTTTTTTTTTTTTTTTTTTATATTTTCTTGTTTTTTAATGCTGTTAGCAACAGTATACTGATGTGGCATTGAAAAATGCCTACGTGGCAGCAATTAGCAAGGATTTCAAACAAAAAAAAAAAAGAAAACGACATAAACTATGCAGTACCAATTTCTCAAAACACCTACGAGCAAACGGCAATAGTACCAATGCAGCACCGTTTTCTCAAAACACCTATTGTAAACGGCATTGGTTCCAAACTGGCTTAGATAAACGGGAATGAAAGTATACACCCCCGCCCCATATTCATGTCAGACTCTCTAACGAAAGCAATTTGACATCGAGCATTTGAGCAAAGCCTGCGGCCCTAATACCCATCGTACCTCCATATCATCCGATCTTGCAGTGGATACACCCTTTCCTTGATTCATCCTATGGTTTTATATGCTCTGTTTTTTGCCTCTAATGAATAAAAGTTAAGGATGCCAAATGTGTACTTGCAGCATATCAGAGCATATTATGAATTCATTGCTCAAATCCAATTTCAAGTGTTCTGCAGCTCGTAGTCATATTCTTCTCTCCTTGCTGCTGCCTGCTTCTCTTCCTTCAGGTGTGCTCTGATGCCCTTTTCCTTTTCTTTAGGCTTCACTTGAATGTGGTTTTGGCCCTAGAATGCTCCTTTCTTCTTGTTGAGCTTCTTATGAATCATCTGTTCCAATGTCAAGTGCTGAGTCGGAGTCAGACTGCTCCTGACTATGTTACCTGGATACGACGACACAGCTAGACATGGATACTAGATTAGACTATTCATGACCCTCTCATTTGTTCCCTCTTCCTCCTTCCAAGTCCCAACAAACGCATGCCTATTCTTCTTTTGCATTGGAAGAGGATGAGGTTGCTAAACAGATAGGCCCATTCTGGCTGCTGCATGTGGATAATGTGTCCTTGCTGGAAATGAAACTGTAGTAATCGTGCAAACTACACAAACCCACATATAGATAGATTGTGCAGATTTGTGTGCGCAAATGTGTTTGTAAGATTTACTTGCAAAGACAACTCTGGAATTTATTCATCAGGCAGCCTATCTTTGTTGTCACTTACAGTTTTGCTTTCTTGATTGTTGACTATAGGTAAAGAAGCAAGTAAAATGCCATATTGAGAGGTCAGACATGGAAATATGAAGATGAAGAAGCTCTTGAATAGCCAAGGTAATAATGGATCATGTTAGCCCCTTCTCTTTTAAGTTTTTGATTCTCTCACATTGTTAAGTGACTGACCGAGGTACAGGAAACTGAAAAAGCAAAAAGGGGTGGTTTTCCTTCTTGGGAGTTTAGTTTTCATTATATTCCACCATTTTGAATTAATCCCTCTTGGCCATGCTGGTCTTGTTGATAAGAATGTTCTCCCTTCAGTTCTTTCCTGCTTCAGGATCTTACTCTTGTTGTCTGTTTGTCCCTTTTTCCCACTGTGGCTTCCACTATATGACTCTTTCTGATCTACATATGCACGTCACCTAAATTTTGGATCCTTTTCTCCCATTTCTCTGGCTGCTCCTGGAATTCCCAACAAGGTTTTAAAATGCTAAAGGCATAGTTGAGGCTTAATGGCTCAAAAAGGTGAGGTGTAAGCCTAAAAAAAAAAGAGTAATTGAAGTTTATAGATAATAAAAGAACATATGATGAACTAAGATAGAATGATAGAATTTACAAGCACCCATAAAAAAGAAGTCTATAAGTAACAAAATGTAGGCTTTTAGCATTCAACAAAATAATAACTAATCAACTAACTACCACAAACCTTTTATATTTCAAGTTTCAAAATCCAAATTTCTCAAATTGTTCAAATGAAAAATCATATACTTTAGATTATCATAAATTCCCCATCATCAAAGTTTCTTTCACTAATGAGATCCTCTAATGAGTCATCCATATAATTGATACTAGATTTCTGGTTACCCAGCATTTTAGAAGAAAGGAAACAACTTAGTTGGTTTAATATATGCAACAAATAAATCAATAAAAAGAAAACAAATCCATTAGGAAGAGAATTGAGAGGTAAAAATTGGGTAGATAGTATTTTCTTGTGGAGAAATAGAAAAAGTGACAAACTTAGGATGCCAGATTTCTAGCCACCCATAAGTGTAGAATGATAAGAAAAGGAATCCCACTTGATTTAACCAAGAATGAAGAGAGAATGATGAAGGTTCTTTTTGGCCCTTGTTGCATTGAACTTTTCTAAAACCCTAAGAGAAACTAGGAATTCTGTTTGCTCTATTAGCTTTTCATTTTAACCTTTTTATTTGCCCCATAATTACCAAAGTGCCATTCGCATATGGTTTAAACTTAAAAAAAAATAATACAATCTTTTTTTGTTTGTACGAAATAACTCAATTATCGTAGGTTTTTGAGGCTTACACCTTTCTACACCTCACAGATTGAGGCTTGAGGCTTGAGGCTTGAGGCTTATGCCTCTTTCTAACAAAGGCTTACACCTCAAACCAAAGCTATGAGGCTTAAGCCTCAGACCAAAGTTATAAGGCTTAAGCCTTGAAGAAAATTTGAGTGCTTTGCCTCAAGGTGTAAGCCTCATGCCTCAAGGCTTAAGCCTTTTAAAACCATGATTCTCAAAATGGGCCCGAGGAGCTAAAGCTACACACTAATGCACTTAAATAGTATGGTCAAAGTTGTGCTTGACCTTGAAAAATAAGTGCTAAAATTTATAAAACAGAAAAAATGGGTCCCAAAGATGTGGCACACTTAGTTTCCAATTGAGTATATTATATTTTTCCAACATTAGGGGTTACCAAACTGCTTCCTTGGTTCCATCTGTTTTAAATATTCAAAATAAAGTATAATGATTTGATTGGAGATTAGATATCAACCCTCTTGCAAGGCCTAAAGCTCATGTCCACTTCGGGTCTACTTTGGGTTGAGGTGGAAGGAGTTGCACAGGTAGTGGTTTATTGGATTAGCTCTTTCTTTTAGGGTTGTTGGACTGTGCTCCATCTTATTAAAGAAGCTAGATCTTTGATATCCAGATTGAACACCTTGCTCAGATGGATACCAAAACCAACTAACCAGCTTGTTTATAAGTGGTGGATGGACCGAGAGAGGTGATTATATTGGAGTTCTACCTTCCTGAATAGAGCAGTTTTCATTGTATGCTGTAGCCTTGTTGGATGATACACATGTTTTGGTGGCCCTTCTCTGTGATAGACTTAAAACAATCTTTTTCTTTAATAGTTATTTATGGTCATGAATGTGTTGTTATTTATATTGAATTGCAGGAATAAATTTTCATTATGCTCGTGTGTACTACTATCCCTACAACATATATAAGGAGTTCTCATCGCAATGCGATAAACCTTCCTCAGAGATAAGTAGGAAGGCTAATTTCTCTGTGAACGGGGATAACCAAGAGGAAGGTGCAATAGCTGGAGTGGATGATATTTGCCACATTTTAGCAAGTGGCCCTTGGAGTTCTGCCTTAGAAAATTCTCTATTGCAGCTACATGAAAAACCTCAACAACAGTTAGTGATTGGAGTTCTACATAGACTGAAAGATTTTAGGTTAGCAATAAACTATTTCCGATGGGCTGAGAGGAAAAGTAACCAAGTGCAAAGTCCTGAAGCATATGATTTATTGCTCAGAATAATGGCTAACAGTAAAAACTTTGGCAGCTTGGAGTGTATTCTGGAGGAAATGAGTCTGTGTGGATATGGACTCTCAAATAACACCTGTATTGAGTTAGTCATGAACTGTGTGAAGTCTCGGATGCTGATGGAAGCTTTCAATCTGATGCAAATCTTGCAGAAGTTCAAATTTCGTCCTGCATTTTCAGCTTATACAATTCTAATTGGTGCTATGGCTGAGTTTCGCAAACCAGATCTTGCACTCTCTCTTTTTCATCAAATGCAGGAGATTGGCTATGAAGTCAATGTGCATTTATTTACAACTCTTGTCCGTGCTTTTGCCAAGGAAAGCCGGATTGATGCAGCTCTTTCCTTACTGGATGAAATGAGGAGAAACTCTTTTGAAGCAGACATTGTTCTTTATAATGTCTGTATAGACTGCTTTGGCAAGGTTGGTAAGCTGGATATGGCTTGGAAATTTTTCCATGAGATGAAAGCTCAAGGTCTTGTGCCAGATGATGTGACATATACTAGCATGATAGGGGTTCTTTGCAAAGCTAAGAGGCTGGATGAATCTGTGGAGTTATTTGAACAGATGGAACTGAACAGGAATGTCCCCTGTGCATATGCTTATAACACCATGATCATGGGCTATGGCTCTGCTGGGAAGTTTGATGAAGCTTATGAATTACTTGAACGACAGAAAGGAAAGGGGAGCATCCCAAGCGTGATTGCATATAATTGCATCCTTACTTGCCTTGGCAAGAAGGAGAGAGTAAATGAGGCTCTTAGGATCTTCGAGGAGATGAAGAAAGATGCAGTACCCAATCTTTCGACCTATAATATTCTTATAGACATGCTCTGCAGGGCAGGGAAACTTGACGTTGCTTTTGGGATTAGGGATTGCATGGAAGCAGCTGGTTTGTTTCCTAATGTCTTGACCATAAACATAATGGTTGACCGGCTTTGTAAAGCAGGAAAGATAGATGAAGCTTGCAGTATCTTTGAAAACATGGATCAGAAGGGTTGCAAACCAAATGCAACTACATTCTGTTCATTGATCGATGGGTTGGGTAGACAAGGTAGGGTTGATGATGCTTACAGGTTGTTTGAAAGAATGTTGGATGAAGGTGAGATTCCAAATGCTGTTGTCTACACATCCCTCATTAGAAACTTCTTCAAGTGTGGCAGGAATGAGGATGGGCACAAAATTTACAAAGAAATGATCCGTCAAGGATGTTCTCCTGATCTGACCCTTCTTAATACCTATATGGATTGTGTTTTCAAGGCTGGTGAAACTGACAAGGGCAGGGCTTTATTTGAGGAAATCAGGAGCAGGGGTTTAGTTCCAGATGTGCAAAGCTACTCTGTTCTAATCCATGGCCTTGTGAAAGCTGGCCATGCAAAAGAGACCTATAAGTTGTTTTATGCAATGAAGGAACAAGGCTATATTCTCGATACCCGTGCTTATAACACAGTCATTAATGGTCTCTGCAAGTCAGGTCAAGTGAACAAAGCTTACCAGCTATTGGATGAAATGAAGGCAAAAGGCCTTCAACCCACAGTAGTTACGTATGGTTCAATCATTGATGGGCTTGCAAAGATAGACAGGCTTGATGAGGCATACATGCTCTTTGAAGAAGCAAAATCAAAACAAATAGAATTAAATGTTATTATTTATAACAGTCTTATTGATGGCTTTGGAAAAGTTGGTAGAATTGATGAAGCATATCTAATCATGGAAGAGTTGATGCAAAAGGGTTTGACACCTACTATATGCACGTGGAACTGCCTACTTGATGCATTGGTGAAGGCAGAGGAAATCAATGAAGCTCTTGTTTGCTTTCAATCCATGAAAGACTTGAAATGCTCTCCTAACAACATTACTTACAGTATTATCATAAATGGATTATGTCGAGTTCAGAAGTTCAACAAAGCCTTGTTTTTTTTGCAAGAGATGCAGAAGCAAGGATTAAAACCTAATGTAATCACCTACACCACCATGATTTCTGGTCTTGCTAAGGCTGGGAACATAACTGAAGCTAATTGGCTCTTTGAGAGGTTCAAGGCAAGTGGAGGGAAACCTGACTCTGCTAGTTATAATGCTTTGATAGAAGGGTTAAGCAATGCTAATAGGGCCATGGATGCATATGCATTTTTTGAGGAGACTCGCTTAAAAGGTTTTAACATCCATGCGAAGACATGCATTGTTCTTTTGGATGCATTGCACAAGGCTGAACGTATTGAAGAGGCAGCAATAGTTGGTGCCGTGTTAAAGGAAACAGCAAGGTCTCACCACGCTTCAAGATCTTTTAAGTTGTAAGATATGGGTTGAAAATTTTCCAGCTTGCTGGAGGAATTCAGTTTTCTCTTATCATGGTCCTTCAAAGTGGCACAATTTCTCCCTATTGAGGTATTTTCTTGCCTGATTAAGAGTAAATTGCAAGAACTCTCAGATCTGGCTTTTCAAACAGTATAAACAGTTGAAAACTATGCTGGAAATATATAATCCTCCAAGATAACAAGAGTATGAAGTCCTACATTTGTGATGCCATGAATGTAGTTCATCTATGTTAGGTACTGCATGATACTATGATATCATCTCATCTTGTAGTAACTGCTTTGACACTTTGTATCTGGTCCAAGCTCATACTCTGTAGATGCAAAAATTTGAAAAAAAGAAAACAGTTTCGGACATTAGCAACAACCTAGGATTGAAAGTAACCCTACATCATGGAAATAAAATGGGACTGGAGCAATCACTTGATTATTCTAATTGCCAACAATAATAAATTTTGTCATCTTTTTCACATTGTACATATACTATTATGACTATATATGATCAATTGATCATATGGACATATGGTATGTGATGTCATTAATATATTGGGATTATGGATAGACTAAGTCCAATATTTCAAAATTATGGATGAAGACAGTCAGTTTAAGCACTATCAAGTTCAGTATAGTTAAGGGATCTTCTTTTACAGATGTGTCCTTGTGTTACTGCCATACTCACTGCAGTGCCATGATGGAACTGGTTATCTTTTAGCTTGAAAACAAATACCCCTGAACCAACACCTACCCAATGCTACTTTCTAAAAGGTGATTACCCAATGCTGGGCATGGCTATCGAGGGTCTTGGGACAGTTGGACTAAACATGGACCTAACCTCTGCCATTTTTTACACAAATTGGCCCTTCTCAGACTCAAACCTGCATTTTGATTTTACCATTGCTTTGAGCAGTGGCCCTAACCCAATATAGTTTCTAATATTCCTAAAGTACCCTCACCTCTTTTCCCTCTTCTTTCCCAAGGTTTAAAATGTCGATGTCGATGGAAATGTCGCTTACCCCAAAATATAGGACATATGTTGGAAATGTCGGAAATGTCGAGGGGAAATATTGTAAAAATTAGAGACATTGTGGAAATATTATGAAATATGTGGAAATATGCAATGATATTTTGTAAAATGATAAAAGAAGCATTAAGACATATTTCTAGACTATTATCTTATTCCCAACCATTATATAAAGCTAAGAAACTAAGATCAATAACAAATTAGTAAATGACGATTTACTGATTTATTACGCATTTTGATGTTTTTACAAGGTTATCTGATATTTTCTTTTCTTATTTTTAATTCTGATTTATTATAAATTCTAATATATTTATTTCACACTAGTAAATAGAAATACATTTATTCTGATTTTTAAATATTAAAGTTATAATACATTATGTTTTATTATAAATTTAATAAACTGATTCTCCTTTTTGTAGTATTAAGATTATGATAAATCCTGATTTCTTATAAAACTTAATGAATTTATTATGATTTTTAATACTAAACTTATAATAAATTATGATTTAGTATAAAATTTAATAAATTTATTCTGATTTTTTTATATTAAATGTAGAATATGATTTATTAAAAATTTATTAAACATTTTCTGATTTTAATAAATATTTTAAAAATACTAACTAGTTAATATTTAATTACTTGAAAAATATTTTATGTTTTATATTATAAAGTAATTAATCTATTCTTTTGTTTTTATATTTTGTTAATTCTTTTTTATAAATATTTTATTTGAAATATTAAATAGAAATTATTAATGGAGTAATTTATATTAATATACTTATTATAATAATATAATATATTAATGTACATTAGTTGACATCCTGCCGACATTATCGACATCTTGTCGACATTTTCGACATCCTGTCGACATAATAGGAAAAACTACCTTTTTTTTTAGTTATTTGGACCGATTTAGTCGACATTTCCGAAATATAGGAAATGTCGACTGAAATAATGTAATTTTTATATTCCATCCATTTTCATGTTGGTGAGCCTCGACATCGACATATGTCGGGCGACATTATTGACATTTTGCGACATTTGAAACCATGTTCTTTCCTGATTCTTTCTTCCTTACTAGCAACTTCTCCTGACATCATCCATGAATTGATCCCAGGTCCTAATCAATCTTGCTTCCTAGCTTCTTCCGAGTTACTAAATTGTCCCTAACTTTCTGATTAAAAAAAAGCTGTAATCTCTTCCAAAAAATGAATCAATGCTGGTGCCTTCATTGGTCTTGCTTCCTGATTCTTCTTAAAATACTCTCTCACTCTCTCTCCTATTTGGTCCCTCCATGATTTTAAGGCCTCCTTTCTAATTGTTTGGGATGGAGATGTGTTTTTTTCTTTTTTTTTTTTTTAATCAGCAAGCAATAATTTTGTTGATGCAAACTTAGAAATTAAAAGAGGTTGGGTGTAACTTCCACACCAAACAACAAAAGATTACATAATACATATTTGCCCAAAAAATTTGCTGTTCTTCTCTCCCACTTGAAAGAGACATTTAACTCCCTCATTAATCTTTCAATCTCCCTAAATTTGTGCTGGAAGACCCAAGGAATCTGGGTACTGCATCTTGTCCAAGAGATGATTACTTGAGAGTCCCCTTCCACCTCTAGATTGTGGACACCCAATTGTTTAGCAAACCTTAACCCCTGCAGTAAACTGATCAGTTATTCTGTCATGACACCCAGCTGTTTGGGATGGAGATATGTTACATTGGACTAGAGAAAAATCCAACTGGATGGAGCCATTTTCTTTAACTTTGAAGGATTTTATGTGGACTCTCTGAAAGTAATGTGGGACTTGTAACTGAGGTAGAGGTAGAGACAATTATGAACCTAAACCCTCTGTTACCAGTATAAAACTCAATGTTTGTATTCTAAGAGCTTTAATTTTGATTTAATGGGCAGAATATTATCTTGCATCTGCATTATTATCTGGTACCGAATACACTATATGTCTTTTGTAGTGTTTTTCTTTCATCAATATAAAAGCTATCTCATACCACTCTGACTTAAAAGATGACTCCTAGTAATGTAAGCACATTCTGTCTTCATGATACATGTAGTTGACCAGATTTACTCAATTGTGGATTGTGTAAATAATCATTTTGTTTTCTGTTTTCATCTAATGAAATCCTTTGATCATATTTCATAGTGCTACCTTGCTACCTGGCATAGGTGCCAAGTGTTCAGGGGTCTGGCTTGCCAAAAATATCATGGAACAGGAACAGAATCATAAATGAATATTAAACCACATAAACAATAAATAATAAAGTGAAAATAAGAATTTAAAGAAAACTTAGAAAATTAAAGTGTTGAAACCTTATTGGATCTGTCTTATCTCATGATACCTTGTCTTAGTCTAAGAATGCTTAGTGCCAACATACTTCTTGCTTACCTCAACTTAAATTATCATCAATATTCCACAAGGAGTGTTGTGCTAAGTGCCAACTGCCAAGTGTCAATTTGTCTATGGGCACACTTGATGTACATTAAACATTTATTTTAAATGAATGCAAGTACATAATTGATTCATGTTATACTTGGTATGTTTCTGTGTAATTATCCTTAAATTGGACACTTATGAAACTCGTGTTAGTTTAAAATGTTCTTAGCCGTTGGATAGACCTGGGGTGGTTTATCCTACCAAGGCTGACACTAATGTGCTGCCAAGTCAGTTTTGGTAGCTTGTCTGCTGCCAAGGTTAGACCCGAAGCACATGTAGTGTGTGTTTGCTTGAAACACTGAACTCGGACCAATTTCTAGTTATGCCCTGGACCTTGGAGACTGGTGGGCAAAACTGGAAAGTTACACCTAACCCCTAGACTCGATTATGGTACTGCACTAAGTGTTGGATTAAGATGTCTTTAATATGCCAATCAGTAAGATCCTTCGAGGGTTAAAATCTTGATATGTTGGGGCAGTCTGAGAATTCACTTGAGTGGGCGATCATAGTGAAAGGATTAGCCCCTTTGTCGGACAAAGTGAATGATCGGGGACTGCACTCTCTCTGATGGAAACTTAAAACTACTAACAGTTGATTTCAAACTTGTTTGAGATTTGTTTTGCAAAATATATCTATATGAATATATATATATATATATTATGTTTTATGGAAAAGGTTTGCAAAAGGTTTTAATTCCCGGGATCCATCCGAGCAGAGAGTGCAACACTGTACCTTGCAGCCGATGGAGAGGTCTTCTCTTGTCGAGCAGTGTTTGATCATTATGGGTTGAGAGGTTAAGTGTAAGACCATTTAGGGCTTTTTATACCTGATGGGCTAATCTCACTTAAGACTATAGTCCTTGGGCCTTCATAATCTCACTTAAGACCATTTAGGGCTTTTTATACCTGACTGGATTCAAGGACCATTTAGTGTAAATGTTGGGCCCATTAAGAGCCCATACTGATGGACTCAGGGGTTCACTGTGTTCAACAGTGAATTCGGCCAAGCCTTGTAATAGAGGCTAGGCTAAACCCATTTGGCTTTTGTGAGATCAATGTTAGGGTCCCATGCCATACAAAGAGAGCCAAGTTAGCCAACAATTAAAAGGAGAAGTGAGCTTGCAAGCTTAATGGGCCTAAGGCCCATAATTAACTGGATTAATTAAGAAGTCACATGACATCTTAAGCAGTCATGTGACGGGCGAATTTGGGTATGGATATGGGTTTGGATCAACAAGAGGATAAGAGGATAAGTCTTATCCACTTAAGAGTTCAGATCCAAATAAAAATTTGGATCAAAGACTCCTCCTAATAGGATTAGGAGAGCTGATCTTTAAGGCTTATAAATAGAGGGGGCGAACTGCTTCAATCTTCACCTTTCTGCATTCAGTTCTCTCCCTCTGTTCCTGCCGTCCAACTCTAATTTGATCTCCAGTTTCTTGGACTGATAGAGATCAGTTCCTACCTCTGATTTTGCTAGAAAATCATATCAGATTTCATGCTCACACTCTTTGCTTGATCCTTGCTGAATGATTGCAGTTCTTGCTGAAGGACTGCATTACTGAACCTGCTTCATTTCAAGCTACGCCATCTTCAGTGGAAGCGGGTTTTGGTACCCTCTTTAGGCGTGAACACCTACATTGGGAGCTACACGTGTGGATTCCGTATCAGGTATTGCTCTCCCATTATTTTGGTTTCAGATCTGGTCCGGTTTGTTTCAAGAACGATCATTGAAAAATGCAGTTTTTCTAAAACTGGGAATATGATTCCCGGAAGGGAGAAAAGAAATTTTTTGAAATTTTGCCCAGCCGCCCTGCATGGTTCGGCTATCCATATGATGGATCTCCCTTCCCTTCATATTAAACCACATAAACAATAAACAATAAAGTGAAAATAAGAATTTAAAGAAAACTTAGAAAATTAAAGTGTTGAAACCTTATTGGATCTGTCTTATCTCATGATGCCTCGTCTTAGTCTAAAAATGCTTAGTGCCAACATACTTCTTGCTTACTTCAACTTAAATTATCATCAATATTCCACAAGGAGTGTTGTTCTAGGTGCCAATTGCCAAGTGTCAATTTGTCTATACCCATTGCTTTTCAAATTATCTATTTAAACTGGTGCTTGAGAAGAAACTTGCAAAATGAGAACTATTGATAACTAAAATTATCATTGAAAAGTCCTGAACCTTTTATACTCATGAAATAATAATATATGAAGATTACCTTAATAGAATTTGTTTGGAAAAAGCAAACAAACAGAGAAATTCCCCCTTCTCTCTCTTAGATAGTAGGCGCGTCATCCGCGCATGGAAAGATGTTTCAATGGAGAACGACTACTGAACAAAACTCCATGACCCTTGAAAAGCCGAACCCCTGATACAATAGGGACTTGTAAGGGGACTCTGAAGATGACTTAGACTGGGAGGATTTGAAAGATGTGGAAGAGGATGAAGTGGATCAGCCATCGAGCATAGGTAGCCCTGAGTCAACAAAGGCCTGTAACTTCATAGACCTTGAGGTCTTTGGAACTAAACTCCTCTTTAGTGAAGAAGCTGGTACAGAAGGTGGAATAAGGGCCAGTGAGAAGGGGGTAAGATTCTCCAAGAAGTTGAAAAGATTGAAGGAAAAATCAAGGAGTGGAATAGAGAAGAATTTGGAAAACTAGAAGTCGTAAAGGAGGAATTAGCTAGGAAAATAGAGGAATTGGACCATAAGGAGGCCCGTAAAGAGTGCAGGCCAGACAATAGAGTTGAAAGATGGAACTTAAAAGTGCAACTAGAGCAGATCCTAAGGAAGGAAGAAATTTCTTGGAGACAAAAATCAAGGGGCAAATGTCTTTTGGAGGGGGATGGAAACACCAGATTTTTCCATTCCCTAGCAAACGGGAGAAGAAGGAAAAACCAAATCTCCATTGTAGAGGTAGAGGGAAGAGTAGTAAACTCAGAGGAAATTGAAAGGTGCTTTGTGGATCATTTCAAATCAATCATTGCCTCCTCTGATGAAAGCAATCTGGACTTGGGAGATTTACAGTGGGATAGAGTGCCATAATCCGAAGCTGCCCTCTTAGAAAGAGCCTTCAGTGTAGAGGAGGTCCATGAAGCAATTTTCTCGATGGATAGATCTAAAGCTTCGGGACCGGATGGTTTTTCTATGGCTTTCTACCAAGATTGTTGGGAAATCTTGAGAGATGATTTAATGGATGCCTTTGCTGAGTTCTATCAAAAAGGGGAAATCTCTCCAGGAGCAAATGCAACTTTTATTGCTTTAGTGCCAAAAAAGAAAGAGGGAAAAACACCTAAGGATTGCAGACCGATAAGTCTTGTGGGTAGCATGTATAAGATCATTGCTAAAGTTCTGGCTGGTCGGTTGAAGATCGTATTGCCCTTTGTTATCTCTCAGAACCAAGGAGCCTTTGTAGAAGGGAGACAAATAGTGGACCAAATCTTAGTGGCAAATGAGTGTGTGGCAGCTAAGAAAAAACAAGGTAGCAAAGGTTTGATTTGTAAATTGAACCTAGAAAAAGCTTATGATATGGTGGATTGGTCCTTCCTGTTGAATCTCATGGAAAAGATGGGTTTAGGTGAAAGATGGAGACTGTGGATCAAAGGATGTATTAGCTCGGCACATTTTTCTATCCTTCTAAATGGGGTAGCAAAGGACTTCTTCCCAGCTAAAAGGGGACTAAGATAGGGTGATCCCTTATCCCCGTTCTTATTTACCTTTGTTGCTGAGGTTTTGACTAGACAAATCATCAAGGTTGATGAAGAAAATCAGTTTAAAGGTTGGAGGATTGGTAATTCAGAAGTAGTGGTGTCTCACCTACAATTTGCTGATGATACAATCATTTTCTGTGAGAGTTGTGATGAATCCAATTTGAAGAATCTAAAAAATTTGATGGATAAGTTTCAACAGGCCTCCAAACTTAAAGTAAATTGGGGAAAAAGTTTGTGTAGCTGGAATAAATCTAGAGGAAGGGGACATCCAAGCCATGGTAAACTTGCTAGGTTGTGAAGTGAAAATATGGCCTCTAGAATACCTAGGTATGCCCTTGGGGGGTAACCCGAAGCCAGTTTTAGAGGGATTCACAAAGAAGCTGGCAATGTGGAAGAGAAATTATATTTCCTTTGGGGGAAGAATCACCTTGATAAAATCCACCCTAGCAAACTTGCCCATCTATTTCCTCTCCACCTTTAAGGTCCCGATGAAGATAGCAAGGAAGTTGGAGAAGATAATGAGGGATTTTTTGTGGGAACTTGGTGATGAAAAGAATGATCATTTAGTGAAGTGAGAGCAAGTCTGCAAACCTAAGGAGCAAGGTGGCCTAGGCATTGGGAACATCTTAAAGAAAAATACGGTCCTCCTAGGGAAATGGCTATGGAGATTCCCTTGTGAAGAAGATAGGCTGTGGCACATGGTCATTAAAAGCATTCATGGTGAAGTAGAAAACGGCTGGGATGCAAAACTTGCATCCAATGGAGCTCCAAATTCCCCTTGGAAGGCAATCCTTGAGGTACTACCAACCTCTCTTCAATTTATCAGGTTTGATGTTGGGTGTGGCAATAAAGTTTTATTCTGGGAAGACCTTTGGGTTGGGGATTTACCTTTTATGCTTAAATTCCCGGACCTCTACTCTTTATCAAACCTTAAAAACAAACCTATTGCTAGGGTTGGCATGCTTTCAGACTTGGGCATATCTTGGGACTTTGGCTTCAAAAGGGGGTTAAGGGAAAATGAATGTGTGTCCCTATTGCCTTTGTTATCAACACTCGAGAAGGTCTACTTAGACATTAGACCAAGTTACAGTTGATAGTAGGGTTTGGTCCCCAACTCCTGATGGTTTATTCTCTTGTGCCTCTTTCTTCGGTTTGCTCACTCACTCTGACCCTTTGGGGGTGAACTTCCCTGTGAGAGAAATCTAGTGTAAACCGATCCCTCCTAAAGTACAAGCCTTCTGTTGGGAAGTGTTCCTAGGGAAGGTAAACACTTGTGATGTGCTACAGAAAAGAAGGCCAAACAAATGCCTCTCCCCTCATGTGTGTGTCCTTTGTAAGGATTGTGGTGAAACCCTACCCCATTTACTGTTATCCTGCTCTTTTGTTTCTTGGATTTGGGGAATTGTTTGTTCTCTCTTTGGATGTAGATGGGCTCCCCCACAGGATGTGGTAAGTCTATTCAGTCCTTCCTTCATGAGGCAGCAGAAGAAAAGAGGAAAGTGCTTATGGAAAGCAGCAAGAGCTGCTGTGGTATGGACTATATGGGAGGAAAGAAACCAAAGACTCTTCTCGGAAAAAAGTAAAACAAAGGATGAAGTCATTGAAACCATAAAAATCAGAACTGCACATTGGGTGATAACCATGAAACTTTTCAAAAACATCTCCATGAATGACATTCTAAGAAACTGGACTGAAGTAGCACAGACAGATGAGCGGAATGGAAGCCACCTGCAATGAACAAATTAAAACTAAATTTTGATGGGAGTTCTCTTGGTAACCCGGGAAGGGCAGGCATAGGGGGTGTGATAAGAAATCATCTAGGTGAAGTTGTGGCACTCTTCTCAGGACCAATAGGTACTGGTGACTCAATACAGGCTGAATCTCTGGCTCTTCTTCAAGGCTTAAAGATGGCTGAGCAGATTGGAACAACAGACTTAGAAATAGGAGACTCACTACTGGTCATCTCTTGGGCTAAAAACATCACGCCAGTACCTTGGAAGCTCAAATTTATCTACAGAGAAATTGACACAATTGCAAGGAGGTTCAACTCTCAGTTTGGTTGGGTTAGAAGGACTGCAAATGGGTCGGCAGATACCCTAGCAAAACAGGGGGAAAATAGACCTACCTTGTACTGGGCTGAACTATAACTGTTTTGTCGTGTTTGTAGACTGGGTTATAGATTGGGTTAATGCATTACTGCAACCTATATCTATTGTAATTCAATACTTCTCTGTTATTAATAAGTCTTTTTACTGATAAAAAAAAGAATCTGTTTGGAAATAAACTTGGTTTTACAAATCCTAGTTGGACATGTTGTGGTGTGAATGTCATTTATGATCTTAAGAATTTCAATGCATATAATTCCAAATGAAGATGACGATAATTATTAACATATTCCGAAGCTGTTATAAAGTAGTACTTTTTTTGATAATCAACCCTAATAGAGTAGTTTAAGTTGTTTTCATAGAAATTTTAGGCAGTTAAAAATAGAAGACATGTGGGTAATATCAGAATTTTCTTGTTGAAGTATTGTAAAAGTTATGGTCCATTAGAAGCATTATTATATCCTTGAAAATAGTTGTTTATATTTGTAGAGACGATAAACATGCACATCTAAATGATTGCATCTCTATAAAATCAAAATACTGTTTTGGCTAAGGAGGTAAAACCAACAGACAAAACTACTTGGTGACATTTTGGTTTCAAATGTTGTTTTCTATGAAATCTATGTTTTAGATATGGATGAGCTTTTATATGCTATTGTTTTTTCCTCTTTTCTAGCAATATAATAAAGCATACTTAGGTATTCTTTGAGTAATGAATTATAATTCAATCATCAAAATAAATAAATAAACCAACAAATAAATAGATAAATAAATAAATAAAGCACACCTAGGTACCAACTAGTAATCTTGAACCTATTGCTCGTGTGACCAAGGAGCCATTTTGATAACAG